GTTGTTGCGTAAAAGCGTAAAAGGTAAAATTTGTTTTTCGGATTTCACCGTTTTGCCGTGCCCCGGGCCGGAAATTGAAGCACTAGGGCAAAGGGCCTGCCCCCCAAACACAGCGCTTTCTTGGGGTTTTGCTCATGTGGGGTGGCCAAAATGCATGTGAAGCGCACTGGAAACATCAGCGTCCGCCACATAAGCGGGATTTTTACACTTTCTGTCCGGCTCTTCAAAACACAGCGTCTCCTTGGATCTGCATCCCGTGATGTAGAATTGCCCTAGTGATGTGTATGTTCCCTAATGCATGGGGAGATGCATATTCTCACCGACTGATGTTTGACACCCGGCACTCGTACCGGCTTGAGCATGTTGCCAACTATTTCTCTGCCTGTGTTTATTCTTAATTTCGACACTTTTGCCATTTCATCGTATTACTTTTTTTTGTACCATTTTTGCCGTTCTTGCGGTTTTTGATGATGATGATGATGCAGATGATGAGGATAATGATGATGGTGATTTTCTTTCATCTTTCACTCGGCGCAGGGAGGTCCGCGTTGCGAGAAGAACTCCATTTGGAGTTGGGAGGAAATGTTTCCCCAACTGTTTCGGCCCCGGCACGCTTGCCCCTCAAGCAAGCCAGAAACAAAGAAAAACTCAAAAAAGAAGGCTGCTCCTGATCATTATTTTAAGGTAAATGTTGGACTGTGTGGTTGAGATATCCTTGGACTTTAATTTCTGGGGATGAAATCTATGGACCGTTACATAGGAAATCCTTCCGCTCTCAAGGAGGGCTGTTTGGTCTTGACCTTGCATGGCACTGGTACCTGTGTGCAAAATGAAGGCAACTGCATGGAAAGTCTGCCTCCCAGGGACCTGTCATGCTCTGAAAACGCTTGGATCCAGTGATTGCAAGTTTCAAGCAGCGACTGTCCAAGCAGCGTGGTCATGTAGAAGACCTTGACCTGAGGGTGTGAGCGAGGAGTATTTGGCAAGGAGTTGCCCACAGGCCCAGAGGATTGGACAGGCGTTACGGTGTGCTTTATTGGAGGTCTTTTAGTAAGTGCCGCACCACTGACAAGGATTGGATGGAATCTGGCTCTGCCTTGCCCAGGCTACCGCTTGAGCATGCGCCTGCGGAATCTAACCATGCTGTTTGATGGCGTGGCGCGTGATGTACATGGGCTTGCACTGCATGGACATTTGTCAAGGGAATTGTGGCTTGCAAGGTGCAGAGCAAGTTCTTTGAGATCTCACTTGTTGGCAAGTGCAATTGTGCTGCCCAACTTAAAGACAGGAGTTGGCTCTGAGCTCAGAACCGCTGGTGCTTGTCCTCCCGGCGAGGACGCCCCACAAGCAGAGCAAGGCTAGCGCGCAGGCATCTGGCGTGCACGCACCTCCCACTCTGATAATCCTTCCGGCGCTACAACCATGGGGCAGGAACACGTCCATGCAACGGCTTCTATGCCTTCACCCCACAAGTAAGGGCACCATAGTACGGCGTCCGTACTGGGGTTTTGGCCTAATGCGCGCGAAAAGGAAAGCGTCTTTCTTCCTAGCAGTCTCTGCCCGCTTCCGTTCTGGCGAAAGTGTCAATGGGACCTCGACGCCCAAGACCCTTAATCCCAAACCTTAAACTTTGCCCAGAGCCACGATTTTGGGATACCCTTGGGGCTAGGGGTGGCCATCTGGGCTACACGTTCCTGCACACCAAACCCTAGACTCGTCATGAACCCCATACCCTTAACCCCACCGAGTAGTTGGTACACGAACGCCCAACTGCGGAGAGGCAAATAACTCTCGGAGCAATCACGAGTGATTTTTTACGACCTTGCCGCCGCAAAGGGAGCTGACCTAAACCGTTAATCCAGAACCGGCCATAAACTGAAACCCTATAACTTAAGCCCGCAACCTCAAACCCTAGACCCTAAAACCCGAAAATCCTACACCCGAGCCGGATCCTCCTGGAGGTCTGTCTGCAGGTCTCATGCGTCATTCCTAATCCCCAAGACACCCCCGACGAAAGCCCCAGCCTTATTTAGAATAAACCCTGAACAATCAAACCTGAACCCACATCCCTAAGGGCACACCGTGCAAACGCTGAGCCCTAAACGTGAAGCCCTAAACTTCCCTAGAAACTAAACCCTAGACCCCTCAACTTAACTTTGGTTAGCTGGGAGTGAAGGAATGGAAAAGAACATGGAAACTACTATCATGGGTTATTTTGGGGCTACTAGCAGGATCCATTCTTTCGTTCCTCGCTAACCAAAGGCCTTCTACAAAGAAGACTGGATAATGTAATCCGTACTGAAGAAGCAAGCTATTACCGCAGAGGAGGAGATCAGTCCCAAGAAGCCGTATCTGAGCCGTAAAACCTAACCCCTATCTAAATCCTAGACCCTAATAATCCCTAAGCCCTAAAACAAAACCCTGCCGACCTCCGCCGGCTCAAACAAGCATGCGCGTGGGTCTCCAGCGTTCTTCCGCGCATGACAAGGAGAGTGAGGTGGCGACCTGCGCGCGCCTGCGCGTCGAGTGTTTGCGCCGGCCAGGCTGCAACGGCGCCACCCACTGGGCCGGGGTACAGGGTTACAGTCTTACTAAGCTTTCTAATTTTGTCCCCTCGTCCTTGCAAGGTGTACTGCTTTGCTGATTCACGGATTGAAGCGGATTAATGGGAGGTTCTGATTACTAACCCCCCTATACGATTCTAAATATTCCGGGGGAGGCCCAATCAAATTTCTTAAAAGTTGTTTGGGCGGTCCCAGCCTTAAGCCCTGAACTTTAAACCCTAAACCCTGAACCTAGAACCCTGAACCCCAAACCCTAGCGGCTAAACCTTAAACCCGTAATTAGGCCCTAAACCCCATGCCCTAAACCCTAGACCCGTTTGGGCGTTCCCAGAACCGAGCATGGAATTGTTCCCTGTATTGTTATTACCCCGTTCAGACCAAATTTTGCTCTAACCCGTACCCATTTATATTACTCCGTTCAAGCCTAATTTCGCTCTAAGACGCCACACTTCACTAATCCGAATCCCCCATTACACAAAGCTATTGTCAGTAATTATTCCCATACACCGCTTAGAATGCACATTTTTCCTTCTTGTGAGAGGACTCCTGCTTTGTCGTTCTTGGAAGGCGCTGGGCGCAAGGGAGGGTTAGGAGTTGATGTTCAAGGTTTCGAGTCTCTTAACCGGTCTGAGGGGGATTCCTCAAAGGGCTTAACTATAGATGTCCCCCAGACAAGGGTTAAACATCAACAAAATAGGGGTGAAATATCCTCAAAATAAGGGTTAAATGTTAAATCTCCCAAGATGAGGTTAAATATCACCATAAAAGGGTTGAGTATCCCCAAAACCCAGGGTTAGATATCCCGAAAGAAGGGCAAAGTCTCCCCGAAACAAAGTTTTATCATCCTCAAAATAAGGGGGAGATGTCACCAAAATAAGGTTTAATATCCTCAAAATAAGGGTTAGATATACTTAAAATAGAGGTTATAGTGTTTGGCCACAATTTCCAGGGCAAACCGCCCTGTCTATCCAAATCCGTTCTCTTGCATGGATTTCTTCAAACGACCTTTTTTGAACTTGCAGTTGTGTGGCAGCAGCGGTTTTCCACCGCGGCGTGAAATGCTTGTAACGAGGGGAGGTCCACGTAAAGAGTTTTGCTTTGTGCCAGACGCGACATGTTGACCGCAGGCTTGATTGTGAGATTTGCTTGCAGCTCTGTTGTGGCTATGGCCGGGCAGACGGAGCACGGCTTTCATGTGGGGCGTGCTTAAACCAGCATAAGCATGCTAATAAAGACCCTAAACTAGTGCAGAAGCACGCGCTCTGGCCTTTATTCGCTGCGGCGGACAAGGATTTTGCATGATCTAGCGCAGAAACTATTGCAAGAGTGCAGTTATTGACATAGTAAACGCTTGAAACTAGTGTAAAGCTGAGGATTGTGCTTTCCATCAGTGACACCTATCAGGGTTTTGGCGTGCTCTAAAGCCGAAATTAATGTAAAACTGAGGATTCTGCTTTCCATCAGTGACACCTTCCAGGGTTTTTGCCTGATCAAAGCCGAAACTAATGTAAAACTGAGGATTTTGCACTCCATCGGTGACACCCTCCAGGGTTTTTGCGCGCTCAAACGCCGCAACTAGTGCAAAACTGAGGATTGTGCTTTCCATCGGTGACACTTTCCAGGGTTTTTGCGTGTGCTCAAAAGCAAAAAACTAGTGTAAACAGACGCATTCCAAAATAGATTGCCAAAATCGGAGTGAATGGATTTAAGGGTTTCAAGATTTTAAAGCTATTTTGGGACCATTAAGTACCTTTTTGCAGCATGAACCCCTAAATCCACTCACCCCGAATTTGGTAATCTTGGGGACGGGGGATTGTGTGGCTGTGCAGAGCAACTGCAGCCTCAGACGTGCCACCAAGTCTTGGAGCCATCAACCAAAGACCTTTTTTGAAGAGCCTTAATGTAGCGAAAGGCCAAGTTTGAGCAAACCCCCTATAGTAATTAAG